GCCCGCCGCCGAAGGCACCGCCGACAGCATCGCAGCGTCCGACCGGCCGGACACAATCGCCACGGAAACTGCGTGTACCGCGTGGCCCGCACAGAGTACTATGTTGGTGCGCCGCACGAATGTTGTATTAAAATAGTGCGCGCGCGGGAATCTCGTACTGTGGCTGCAATGCCGCGGTTTTCACTGTTCCATTGGCGGTAAGTGTGCACGAATTATGTGATTTTTTTTTTTTTTTTTTTACGCATCACCGATTATTTCCCGAGGGTTAGAACACTTTTTTTTTTTTTTTTTTACTAATGTTTTTTCGTTCCCGACGAAACGAAAGCAACACCTCTTTTTTTCTCTTTCTCTCCGGGAGAGAAAGAGAGACAAGTGTATTTTTTCTATCCTCTCGAACGGTTCGAATTTTCGCCCCGTTCGAAATCGTTATAAATTTTTTTTCAACAAAGCTCATTATATGTCTTAAGCTTGTACGTATTGTTCGATTTATGTTTGTTTTGTTTTGTTTTCAGGCATTTCGCTTTACTCGTTTACTTGCTTACGGCAGTATCGGCGGTAAGTATACTTTACTCGTTTTTCCTTAGCGCGTCGGATGCCCGCCGTACCGAACGCACTCGCAGATTTGTACGCATACGAACGTACGTAATAATTATTGTTGTATCATTGTTTGCCGGTGTCGGGTGCACGCTTTAATACGTTCACACCGTGATCGCGTACGCGTTAACACGTCGAGATCGACTTTGTTATTCGATAAAATATCGCAATACTCGCGTACGCGGCTGTTCGACTTTTTATTTTTATTTTTTTCTATTTTTTATTCTCTCCCCGCTTATCTATCGTGCATGCACCTCGCGCCGCAACGGCGAACCTACACCATACACCGCGTTCGCTTGCCGCCGCTGAACACATGTCGGTGTAAAGTGCACTCGCGTTTCCAGCGTTTCCTTGAACCGTCCTATTATAAGACGTGCGCGCAAAGGCAAAGGGGACGACGGTGTATCGGCGGTGGGCAGCGCGCGATAAACTTTGACGAACTTCATGAATGAGAACACGCGCCCGACGCGCCCCGTACCATCCGCGTAAATACCTATCCACGCAGCGGTCGATCCCATTGTCGGGAACGCGGTCGATCGACGCCGCGATAATTCGCACGCGGGTCATAATGATACGCAATGCACAATGCGCTATCGAACGATCGGTTACACGCCTTGATCGTCCGTCCGATTACGATGTTACACTATCATTCGTGCACGTAATAGTGTTAACGATCACGTATTTGACATGTTTTTGACGGCGTTATCGTTTTGGAATCGGACGCGGTTTACGTAGGCCCGTGGCGGCAAGAATCTAGTCGAAAACCGATTGTCGCATTATTATGCGCAAAACACTTACGAAAATATTATAATTTCGCGTTCACCGCATTACCGTACGAAATGTGTGCAAATCTTAAGATTTTCAAACACTTTCGGTTTTCAGTCGTCTCTCCGGTTTTCAAAATATTATAAGACAATTATTTCATGGACGATATGAGTGGTTTATATAGATTTCAATTTTACTATTTTATGTACGGTTCATGAAATAATATCCAATTATAATATACATCACTAGGGCTCGGATTTAAATACACTTAAAATCATACAAATATGCTCTAAGAAGTAGCCGAAAATGTCCTTAAAAAATGCATTTTATCACAAAAATGACCTTAAAAATGACATAATTTTTTTTTATATTTTGGGCATTATTTAACACACTATTTAAATATTAAAATCACATTCACACGTAATACGAGCAACGTCTGCGAGGTAATATGAACTAGCTGATTATTTGTTATTTGATCGAATACTGGTGACGTTTCATAATCAATAATAAATTATGATAAGATAAAAACTAAATCGAAAAAAATTTTTATTAAATAAAGATTGACAATGTATTTGGAAAAACCCGATAAACCTACTTAAATATCAAGAAAATAATTTGTCTTTTGATTTGATTTTGAATAGGCTAAATTTGTTTAATATATCGAACAAATATGCATTAAAAACCAACAAAATAACCCAATAATACTAAAAATGCTCTAAAAATGAAAAAACGTCGAAATATGCAAAATTAAATTTGTAGTTTTGAAACCCTCGTTACATGAAATGAATTATGTTCTTAGAGAGCATTGTGTATGATCAACCAAAAAAATATGCACTTTGCATTGAAATCCAGGCTCTATACATCACTAATACATACGCATATATATATATATATATATATCAGTAAAGTTGATAAATAGTTCGGTGACCTATTGACTGTTGACCAAATTAATATTTTACACACTACCAAGAAATTAACTCTTGTACTGATTAATGATTTTGAATTCGTAGCATAGATATATATTTAATTTTTAGATGTTTTTTTTTTTTTTTTTTAATTGTAAAACTATAAAATAATATGATACATTGGTTATAATAATTGTATTATTAGGACGTTGTACTCAATTAGTAATATTTTCTAATAGTGGTAACTAAAACATCACTTTTAATCTAAAAATCATTTTATTATTTATATTTTATAGTTCGAGAGAAAAAAGTTATAATATTAGTAATAATACGAATTGACATAAAACGGAATATTTTATAATCTTTGACTATAAATACATTTATCGATAATGATGATCAATCTAATCACCTAATTATATATAAGCTGAATCATCTTTTCATACAACCATGTACCTTATTTTTGTAATACAATTCTTGGTTCCATGACATTTTTACATGGTTTTATTTAAATTTGTGGTAAAATTTAAATAATAATACTATCTCTTAGTTAAAATTAAACAAAGAAAACTCAAGAAAAATAATTTAAATGAGCCCTATATTTTTAATTAAATTGTAAATATTTTTTAACAAACCAATTTTCGTTCCGAATAATTTTTTGAACAAAGCGATCGTCACCACAATCTCTATTAAAAAATTAATTTATCACTGCATATTAAGTTTGTACTATGTGTCTCACTATCTTATGCTAAAGTGGGAGTATGCGTATCCATTTCCGCTATTTTATATTAAGCATTATGGGATATGCTATATTTTTTCTATCTGTTGTATATCAATATTAAATATTAACGTAAATAACCCACTATAGTTCATACATTTCAAAAATAATTCGAAATATTCATATAGTGTTTATGAAAAGTATTTATTAATTGAAATTGTTGAAATCATGGTATCATGCTTTAGAATAGTAAAATATTATTAAAATTTACCACAAAGTAGTCACTAAGAAAATAAAACAAAATATTTGGCTTCTTCACACAATCGTATCGTAATGGTATTTGATTTACAATAGTCATTTATGATTTCCCAACTGCTTTGAGACAGGTTATACAATCACAATTGACTTATATATTAGGATAGCCCTTAATTTTTAGCTATAAAAGTTTTATGTTGGTACTTCTTCCCCATTTTATTTGATACTATATAAAATATATAAGGTACAATATGATGACGATATTCTACCTCTTTCATGTCTCAAAAGGGTAGAAAAATTACTGAAGAGTGTAAATTCCTAGGTTTTTGAGGTTAAATCTAAAACTATAATTCGTAAGATGAAAATGTGCATGAACTTGATCGAAGAACATAATATTATCAATAAATTTTATCTTACAAAATTTATCTTAAGTTCAATTTTTTTCTATAAAAACATAAAAACTAATTTTTTTATTTATATGGCAACAATTTTGGTTTTACGTTTTTTTTTACATTCTTTTAACAAATGGTTGAAGATAAAATAAATAAAAATAAAATATAAAATAAGTATGTAAATTTATGCATACAAATTTTTTCTTAAATCAAATTTTCTCTAGATAAAATCATTAGAAAAATTATCATTAGGTTGATACAATCAGATCCATGTAATATTCAATATATATTTTTTTCAAAAAAGGTTATTTATTGTAGTAAAACGTATTTCAATGAAATATTTAAAACTTATTTTCTACAAAATTATAAAAAAAATTCATTTAACTACGAAATAATATAAAATAAGTCAGTAAAATTATTATTTATAGCTTTTTTTTTTTTTTTAATTACACTGCTATACTAGATGAATGTATTACGATATCCTTGTTCTACCTGTAAGTTTCACAAATTATTAGATATTTGCAAATCAATAATTTACTGAATTTATGTAGAATTTATTTACTTGTAAGGTTCATTGGTTCTAATTTTTATTTTTAGTACATTTTTAACTATATTTGTCCATCAACTAGACATTTATTTTTGCAGCGTCGTCAATAATTTTCAATGATAGTATAATATCTTAAGCTTTTTTCAATTCATTTGTATCTTGCCATATACTTGTGTCATCAAGTAAAAAATTATCAGAAATTATAAACCATTCAAATATTTTCCATAATTTATGTCAGCAAATCAAATAGGTTTCTTTTAAAAAAATGAAATCAGTTATTGAAGTTTGAATTAAATTTTTTTTTCGATTCTATATTTTTGTTTTAGTTATAATAATTTGTATTGTTTTGTTCTTTTCCTTCTAACATTATTTGACACAACCAGATCTTTAAAGAGTTTTCTACATTTAAAGCCAAAATAATTACAAAACTATCGTGTCAGCCAATAATTTAAAATCCTAGTACATACTACATAATTTAAATGGAGATCAAAAGATGCTAATTCAAAGGCTTTAAATGACTGTTTGCGAAAATGTTCACGTACTCGTTTAACATTTCACCTGTTTATAGCAAATTACAAAAAAAAAATACCTAAAAGCTTTCTGCCACAGATGTTAATAAATATACTGCATCACGATTACTATTCTTTAATTTTTCTAAAATTGTCGATAAGCAAGATACCATAATATGACATATTATGGTCTCACTTATCGACAGAATACATTGTATTTTTTTTTTTTTTGCACGTTTTGGTTTCAAAACACCGGGAATTCAATTTATTTCTGCGTATAATATGAACTAGAAAATCAAAGTCTGTCTGTAATGAAATAATAAAATTTGTTTACAAAATAAAAAATAACCAATTATAATGAAATAATAGTTTTTCATGTTTAATTTATATATCTGTACATTTTTATGTTTCTAATTATTTTCGTACTTTTTATCGATATTCCTATTTGTTAAGAGTTGCTTTGCGTTTCTAAATAGCCACCAATATCATACCACTACGAAACATAAACCCAGAACGTCCTAACTCTTGTTGTTTTAATAAAAATCTTATCTCCTTCAATTTTAATGAAATTTTAGGCATCAGAATGGATATAATTAAAAAAAAAATTGTCTAATTTTTCTTCAAATAAATTTTAATTTCGTTCTTATGTTTCAATTTTTTGTGTTTATTTTTTTATTTTTTCTCTAATTTTCTCAGCTGTTTTTCAATTTTTTTATGCAATTAAAACAATCGTGAATAAAATAATAATAATTCGAGGTTTATTCAAATCGAATATTTGTCAATAACTAATTGTAAAATGTTGTGTTAATTGAAATTAACTGACTATATTATAAAACTTAATAAATAAGCAATCCCTTTTGGTTAACAATTTAGAACCAGTAATTTTTCCTCTATAGTTCCAATTCAATAAATTTGTTGTCGAGACATATCACACAAAAATAGTAATAATATTCGAAAAATATTAAATAATAACTTTAAAATTGTATTCATTATTTACATGAAATATACAAGTAAAAGACTGAAGTATAAATATTAAATTGTACTTTTATCCTAATAAAACTATCAACACTAATTGAGCTTTATTTATAATTTTTTTCGACGATATCAATAATTATTTATTATGGGACTTAAAATAATACTATAATGTAGTATCTGATTTATACATAATATTGTAAATAAATCATATAAATGAAAACAAATTAAAATCGGGGATTTTGTAACTTGGTTCAAGAAAAGAAAATGAACTATTAAATTAATGTTATTACTACATAGAATATTTTTCAAAGAAATATATGCTAAGTATTACATGAATTCTGAACTCATATGAAACATTGTAAGAATAATAGTTATAGATAATATTATGTTCTTCAATAAAACTTTGGTAAATTTTCATCCTACGTATTATAGTTTTAGATGTAATCTCAAAAAACCAGAAATTTACAATTTTCAGTAATTTATCAACCTCCTTGAGGCATGGGAAGAGGCAAGTTATTTATATACAGTATCAAATAAAATGGGAATGGAGTCATGACTCAAAAAAATTGTTCTTCTATAAGTAAAGACTACTCTAATATATATATATATATCGAAGAGCTATAAAAAAAATCAATATTTTAATAGATAATAAAATAGGTTTATCAGGGACCGAATTTGTTATTTTTACGCGTGCATGATTTTAATGATAAATATTTTTTCAGCATAGAAATATTTATAAATTTACTGTAAATAACTATTTATAATTATATTTATTTATTTATTTATTTATCGTGATACACTAACAAATGTATAACTTTATAAATTCTTATTTATACAAGATAATTAATTGTATCATTAATATCTTAACTAAAAATTATGTTGCATTCATAACTTAGAATACACAAATAGGATTCTGCTCTATAATTTTTCACAATCTATTTTAATAATTTTAATTTTTAAAAACTATATTTTTTGTAATAGAATATTTTGCTATTTTATATGTATAATACATACAAATAAAAATAACTGCATAGATAAAATTAGGTCACAAATAATTTTCTGAAATTTTACGATTCAGAAATATTTTTTCTTCTCTTTCAGTTTTTTTTTTTTTTTTTTTTTTTATAATCCTTTGAAGAATACGTAAATTGAAACAGTTGATTTTCTAATATTCTAAGTCAACTTTACTTCTTGATTTACTACAATGGTTAATTATTAATAATTATTATTTAAAATCCAAAAATAAAATACACTTCTTTCTTGTCAATTACAAGATATACATGATATACATAATATACATAAATATATGTAAACCGTTCCATCTGTACAAATATTCAAAAAATATTTTATAAATATTAAGAAAAGATTAATTGAATTTTTAATTAATTGTTTTGGTATTAAGATAAATAAACAAATAAATAACTAACATAAGTTCAAGCTGTACTAGAAAAATTACATAGCGAACGTGAACATTTTTAATTAATTGTGAACCATTTTAAATTATGGTTCTAAGATTCTGATAACAAAAGTCTTGAAATGGCGGCAACAAATTTTATTTATTATTAAACCAATTAAAAACTAAAAAATTAAAAAATTAATATATTTATTTTTACTTTAATGGTATTTATTAATATCTATAATCATGATATATTAGTTTCTCAAAAAAATTCTTGAATTTAAATTCTCAATTCTTATTTGAATACAAATGACTTTTTAGTATTTATGAATGAAGTCAAAAGATGGTTTAGAGGCGATAAAATATATATATATATAATATTTAATTAATTAATATGTATAAATTGCATATATTTAGTATTCAGCAGTGAAAATAAATTCATAATTATCATAATTATAAATTGGTACTAGATGTATAATATAAATAAAATAAATATAATTTATTTATAACTATTTATTTATTTTTAGTATAATTACTATATTACTTCGTCTAATTATTATTTTACTTACATTTTGTTTAGCAATGGAACAGATATCCATATGAATTGAACAGAACTACTGAAAATGAACCATACTCCGGAGATCAAGAAGGAAGACGGTATACTAATGAAAACAGATATGCTATCGCAAATCAAAGAGGGAATTCATCAAATTGTACACCAAAATGTTTCGCAGAAAAAGGGAGTCGGGTAAATTTTATTGATTTATTATTCATATTCATGTTATTTATACGAATAATATGATTTATTTTTAAGGGACCACCTGGTTCAACTGGCTTACCGGGTCCTCAAGGAATACAAGGATTTCAAGGAATCGAAGGTCTGCCAGGTAATCAAATGCAAATGCTTAGTTAATTAAATTAAAATAATATCATCATACATACCTAGCTTATGTAAGTATATATTTTATGTTTCATGGGGGTGGACACTCTATTTCATATATTTTCGGTGAAACTCAATAGTAAGATACTTTAAATATTTTTGAGAATTTAAGGCTATTTTTGAGTTGATTTTTCGTTGCATTATTATTTTATGATTTGTAATAAAATGTCTTAATGAAATTAATTAAAACTATAATGTGAGAATAAATAAATATTTAATTATTATAATTCGTAATATAATACCAATTAGTAATCATATGCCAAATAAATGCAATAAAATAAATTTATTAAATTTATTGAAATTATTCGTTAAAGAAATTGAACTTGTATTTTGTTTATATTATTTTAGTTAAAATTGATACTAATATTATAAAAACCTTTCGTATAAAATATAATATTATAATTATTATTTTTATTTTTATCATGAAATAATGAAATTATATTTTTATTTTTTTAGTCCATTTATTTTGAATTCTTCAATGTAATCTATAATAAAGGCCTAAATACAATTTATTTTTATTCATGAAATTTTAAAATTCTGTATTATCAGATCATGTGTTAGGAAATAATGTGTAAAAATGGTAATAGAGTTTTCCTAAAATAACTTTTTTTTGTTATCAATGTAATATAAATACTATACATTTTATGAATAATATAGTATAATATATTAAGAAATAATATTATGTTAAATATTTTAAAATACAGGTCCGATGGGAGATAAAGGAGACATTGGGCCAGCAGGACCACGTGGACCAAAAGGAGATAGGGTAACTGTCTTTTATTTATGATTTACATATTTTATCAGTTCATGGAATATATATTTATAATTAACAAATAGAAATAATATTATAATAACAGTAAAATACGTTAAAACTATTATAATATTATAATTAATTTTTTTAGATCTAATAATTTAATAAACATATCAAATAAACTAATACCAAAAGACTAACATTTATTCCAACATTAGTTTTGAAAACTGGTATGGATTTTTCAAAACTTACTTAATGCATTAGTGGGAATTCATTTTTCGTTATAATTATTATAATAAAAATAATTTTAAGATTTGCAGAACTGCAACTTTTCAAATAAAAATTATTTGTTTATTAAATATATTTTTCAAATTGTACCTTGAGTGATGATTAGTCATAGTTTAATCTTATGAATTTACGTTTTTTTCAAATCTAAGAGTATTCTTAGAATCATACTATTATAAGTTTGAATTAAGTCTTGAGAATGAAATTACCACTTTATCTTGTTTTTACGGATGTGGTGCTAAACCATCGTACGGAAATCATCTGTAATGACTTACTAACACTAATATTAATTTACGAGTATACAATTATTAACACAACATATTTTAAGAAATTGCCTATAGGTTTAGGTAAAAATTCATATTTCAAAAATAAATAAAAAACAAAAATCAATTTGGTAATTAAATTTTAATAATTCTTTTTTTTTGTGTTTAGGGTAAAATGGGTATTCCAGGATTTCCAGGTAATTATACTTACCATATAAGATCATTCAAATATACATGTTATATTATATACTATTATTATTATTATTATTATATGAATATTATATATTTTTAATTAATTTATTTTTACTCAGGTGTAAGTGGTGTGCCTGGACAGGTAGGATCTCCTGGACTACCAGGTATTCCTGGTCTAGATGGATGTAACGGAACGGATGTATGTATAATATTTGTATTACATTTTAAGAAAAATATTTTTAACTACTTACTTATGTAAGTAATTTTCAATTCATATTTTAATTGGAAATTTAACTTTATTCATCATAACACAGCTCGTAATATTTTAATTTCATTTACTTGTAAATGCAACTATCTTGGATTGTTCAATGACGAATTTAAAATCAAAAAACTTCAATATATTATATTTATAAAACTTCTATTAAAATATAAGTTCATACTTTAAGAATGTGAATCTCGTTATTGGTCAAACGATTTTGTCCGGTTGTTTTAAAGCTAAGCATAATAAATAATAAGAATAAAATATACCAAATACTTGATAATCAGTTACATTTATATTTAAATTCAGTTATTAATTAAATTAGTTATATAAAAATACTCATTTAAAAAAAACGTCCATCATAAAAGTAAAACTTTTCAATCAAAAATAGATTCATTTTGTGAACATGAAACAAAAATTGAACAGTTACAATATTGAAATAAAACTAATTTTGAACAATATCTACAGGGGAAACCTGGTCTTCCTGGTTTACCAGGTGCTATTGGACCTCGCGGATACCCAGGATTACCTGGTGATAAAGGCAAGTATTTTAAAAATTATTTTTATTTAGCTGGTGCATAAGCATAATTTTAATAAATTAATAATTATTTAATAATACAAATAATTATTATTAAACCAGGGACTGGAACTTTTACGTTTTTATCGGTTTCGGTTTCGGTTCAGGCCAGGAAAAAAAAATGTAAATTTCGGTTTTTATAAATAATAAACATTGGTTTCAGATAAAACTCGTTTTAACCCAAACTATTGGTCTTCTTTATTCTTTTTTTTTTTAATATAACAAGGGATTTTTTTTACTTTTTAAAATAAGCACATTTTATTTTGTTTTTTAACACTACCATCTTTAAAAGACAATTTCTAAATATTATTGTTACATAATCAGGGCTCGGAAATTATAATTTTTAGCTCAGGGCCATAAAAAAAATAAATAAATAAAGACCAATTGGGTAAAAACCGGTTTTAATCGAAACCGAACAAATTTTTACTCAAATATATTTATTTTTTTTTAATTTAAATTTTAATTAAAATTAAAAAAAAAACAATATATATATATACATATTTTATATCATATTAAATAAAAATAACATATATAATAAGCTTATGTATATCACAATTAACTCATAGAAACAGACCTTACTTACCTTTTATCTTATTACCTAATTGATGTAAAGAAAAAAAAAATTTGTAAAACCTCGAGTAAAAAGTAATTAGGTAAATTAGATATTATACGCAATAATATAGTCAGGTACTAACCTACATTAATAATATTGTAAAATTAATTTCAATAAATATTCAATAATTTTATTTTATATAAGTTTGATATAATTTAAAGTACCTATTTATTTTAATTTTAATTACATTTAATTTGCAATCACACATTTTACATGAAGATTCTTTGGAACTTTTATTGAAAGTAAAATAGGCATGATTTTTACAGACATTAGAATGATCCATTTTAATACAGCCCAAAATACACAGGGATCAGAAACAGAAAAAAGAATACATGCTTATTACTTAGAGCTATATTTATACGTATAAGTTATATTTTTGGAATATAATTATGTTCATAATAGCTGTTCGATGTGAATAATTTGAAACACTTTCATATATTATTATATCTGTACTTAGAGGTCGATAATTCCATATTATTCCCATTGCCTCGTAAAATAACAATCAGGCGAAAAAAAATATACATAAATTAAATAATTTGTATTATATTAGTTGTATTTTTGTTAACTTATATTATTATTTAACTCGTTATATTCAGAGATAATAAATTGTCAGTATTTTATGTTATAATGTTGCCCCTATTTCAATTTAATAAAATTTAATTTCTGTTTTGACACTTGGAATTTCATGTTATAAGTAATTGCCCGTGAATTTAAATGTATAATATAATATTATAATTTTCAATTTTAATAACCGAAAAAGTTCGTAAAACCATTCAAATTAATATTTCGATTTCGGTTTCTTCATAAACGATTTTATGGGTTTTGGTTAAGGTTTTGATCCGAAACCGGTCTTTTTCGGTTGGTTTCCAGTCCCTGTATTAAACACATACGTAAGTTTTTTTAAATAATTCAAAAATATAATTTTTTTTTTAGTTTCATTTTAGTTTTTTATATTTAAAAAAAAAAAACATAAAATTCTTTCTCAGTAATATGTAATTAGTTGTGAGGTTTTTAACTATAATAATTTTATAAAAAATTTCGTTTTATTTTTCTAAAGGAATGAAAGGAGAATCTGCGCAGACACCAATAAATAACAAAGGCCAAAAAGGAGAACCCGGTTTGAATGGTGTTCAAGGTATGAATATAATTAATACAATTCTACATGGATATATATATTTAAAATACTTACATACGATTAAGTATTTTACATTTTATATATTTAAATATTATATTATATAATATAATATTATATTTATATTTATTAATATTATATTTTTATATTTTTTATATTTAATTTTCAATATTTAAATATAATTATTGTATTTCAGGCTTACCCGGAATACCTGGTCCACAGGGTCCTGTTGGACCAATGGGAAATCCAGGAGATATTGGTCCAAAAGTAATTTAAAGTTATATTTTCCATTCATTAATACGTACTTTTTATTATAAATTACTATATTCTTACTATAACATTATAAAATTTATAACGTTAATCATATTTTATTTATTTTAGGGAAATAGAGGTTATCCTGGCCCAAAAGGAGAAAAAGGTATACATTGATGTTATACCAATATAATTCTATTAAAAAAATATTTATAAATTTATAATTTTAACTTCAAGAGAAACGTAAAAAAATGTTAACTGATTGTTAAAGATTTATTTTAGATATAATAATTATAAATATTTTATGATTTACATTTTAAAAGTAACAGTGATATACAACACACAATAAAACTGGAATTTTCGGATGCAACTGTTCAATACACTATTTATTTGGGTTTAAATTTTTATTTTAGGAAAAGAGAATGTTGGTTTTGAAGGTCAAAAAGGTGATAAAGGTTGGAAAGGAGAAAGGGGACCTCCTGGACAAGCTTATATACCACGAAGTGGTAATGACAATTCAACTGTTGGACCTAAAGGCGAAAAAGGATCGCCAGGTATTCAGGTACTTGTCATACATCAGTATTGAAAAATATCTATAAATATAACTTATCAACAGATTCCCAAATTGTTTATAAATCATAACCTAAAAAAAAAAAACACAAGTTAATAAAATAATTTGTTACTATAATAAGTTATTGTTCAGATATTAAAAAATTATTTTTTGTAAAACAATTGTTTGTATTCAAATGAAAATAATTACACTAAGATAATACGTTAAAACCAATTAAAAACCTAAAATACAATAGCATAACAAATCGTCAAAAAATATACACTAATATTTTGTTATAACTACACACTTTATGTTCTGTAATGATAAAATTGTTTCAGAAGATTCGAAAGATAAAATTAAATACTTGAAAAGAAAATATAAATATATATTTTTATATAATATTATAATTATATATGTTAAGGTGTATGACCACAATAGGCGAATGTTGACAGTCACAGGTGTATGTTCACATTTACCAAAGATCGTAGTGAATGTTGACAAAACGGTCTTAACGCGTTCATACACCGGTGATTGTTGACATTTACAATCAGTGTTTGGTAAATGTTGACCGCACTTTAAGCAAGGTATATGTAAAAGGTATTTTTGTATTATTTTGTAGGATCAATAAAATTTTCGATTATGTTTGACCTAATCGCCCAGTCACAATAATCGTATGCATTCAAGTCGTTTGGACGATGTCGATAATGATATCGCATGAGAAAATAGTTATCTAGATAATATAGTATAAATCCTCGTCAGTATCGTCGCGTATTCTAAACCAAGCGCGATAGTAACTATTATTAACTGTTATAAAACTATTTAATAATAGTTTATAATATTATATTCGAATTAAAATTAATAATGAATAAAAATATGAAAAATATTTTTTATATGTAATCAGACATATCGACATTCATTAAATAACTATTGTGCATGTCAAAAAATACTGGTAAATGTCCGCATTGAGAGATATTTGAAATAATTAAAAACATTTACCAAAATAATTGGTGACATACTCGTATATTATAAAAGGTTCGACGTATTATTTATTGTATTTTAATTTCAATACAACTATGGTTGAATTAAACTATTTTCAAAAATATTTTTAGCTATAAGTATTAGTTAACTATCACAATATAGTTTTCATCGATTTTCATCTATTTACATGATTATATAATTATTAAAGAAGTGCAGTTATGATCTTTTCTAACCACAAAAATTTTGTAGTTAAAATATAACAACATTTTATATAGCTTATAATCGTATAATGGTTTATGATTTCTAACAAATAATTAACAAAAAAAATATGTGTTCTAAGTTGATTTGTTAAAAATACATTTAAATTAAAAGATTGTGTGTACATTATCATTTAATAATTATAATTTTTAATTCTTACAAATCAGGGAGAACGTGGAGAAACCGGCTCTAAAGGAGATATGGGAATGACTGGTGATAAAGGAGAGCCAGGTACTGATATACATTATGATATGTTATATAACTCTTTCTTAGTAATATTCAACCTTTATTATGCTTTATTGTTTTTACGTGCGAACCGATTAACAGTTTTCTATAATATAGTGGTAAGCTTGTGTTAATACTTATTGAATATAATTATGGATAATAATATATAACATGTATTAGCTGAGTCAATTTATAATTTTATTTGATATAAATTTCAGCTAATGATGGTGAAAAAGGTGAAAAAGGATTAATGGGACCTCCAGGACCTAGAGTAATTAATTTCTTTTACATTTTTATAGTATATATGTATTATATTTTTATATTGTATGTTTATCTATAATATTATTTATTATACACATTATTTTAGAATAATATAATATTACAAGAAAATTTGAATAAATTAAAACTAATGATAGTTAAAAACTATGATAATGATACTTAATCATATTTTGTGACATTTTAGAAATATGGAATCTAAAAATTACATTTTATACAATTATGTTTACTTTAATTATAGGGACGTGATGGCTATCCAGGACCTCCTGGATTTATTGGCCAAAAAGGTAACTTATTTATAAAATTAAAATATATTATAATAATGTACGAATATAAATACGAATTTCCTTTAAATAAATATAATAAATGTTAACAAGTTCTCTATTTTTAGGAGACCGAGGAAATGATGGATTGAGTGGTTTACCAGGCCGTCATGGGCCTAAGGGAGAGCCCGGTCAGTTATTAATACTAAAAATAATATATTTTTGTCTTTATTTAAATAAATCTAATTATGATTTACGTGTATTACCGGCAAATCATATTAATAATAGATAATCATAATTCTCGTAATACGTAGAATTGTTTTTCCAAATTATATATCAATAACAATAAAATGTAAAACAATAAAAGTGAAACTAAACAGTTATTTTTATTAAATGAATATAGTTTTCGTTGAAATAGTCGGAGGTTTATATAATGTATATTTTTATTTATGTTTTTAGGAAGAGATGGAGCACCTGGAGTGGCTGGACTTCGAGGTCCTAGAGGACCACCAGGGGTACATTATTTAAAAATAATAATTTACATTTTACTTAAAACAAAATTTAATTAAAATTTGTCTTTTTGAATGATTAACTAAATGAGGAATTGGCGATAAAAGAATTAAAAATAATAATATAATTTATCTAGGGAGGAAATGGCAGACCCGGTCTCCCTGGACCTCAAGGACCCAGAGGTTATCCAGGACCAATAGGTAATTATTTAAAATTTGTAATTCAATACAAATTTAAAATTAATACGGTTTAGAAACTCAATGTATATAAATACATCTGTCAATTTTAGGTCCTAAAGGTTTAGATGGTATCGATGGACAACCAGGTCCACCTGGACCAAAAGGAAATACTGGAGGCCCAGGTACGTTTGTATTATTTATCTATAAATATTATACATTACAAATATCTATACCTGAAAGCTAATTAATGAATACTTATTGAAACAGTAATAATAAAAATAATAAAATCGTAATGTATCTTTAAAAGTATTCAAATATAACCATAATCCTTGTATTGTTTGAGTTTTTGAATGTTCACACAAAACTATTTAATACGTTTTATAAACATAAACTTTCCATCATTTAGGAATGCCTGGAAATATTGGTCCCGAAGGATTTCCTGGCGAGATTGGTGCAAAAGGAGAACCAGGACTTACAGGCAAGTATATATTTTTATTTATTACATTCTATGTTTTTGAAATTTGATTTTTCATATACATACATTTACAAAATATTTTGCATACAAAATATAAATATACATTTCAATAATTTAAAATTATTACTGTGTACTATACATTTAATTCACAATTAAATTAACTACTCTATAAATCATGTCATAAAAATGTATTATTTTAACGTATAACAGGGAGTATAAGAACTCAATGTCAACCACTTACATTAAATTTTTAGTGTATCTTCGCGGAATACTTTATAATTTAATGTTCTATATTATAGAGCTATACGAAACAATTCATATACAAATTATGTTCTTCAATTATTATATATAGGAAAGTATAACGTATTAAATTATACGTATAATTTTAGAGCATTCTAATATTTATTTCTTGATATCTAAAAAAATGATTTTGTACACTTCTTGATTTAATCCTATTTTAATAAACTATTTACTTCGCTTTATTTATATTTACTAATCAAAAGTATATTACTGTTAGATACAATCAGTTATTACAACGCTATAACTACTTTTTAAGTATACATAATAACTCATTTTTAAGTATATATTATTAGTCTAAGTTTTGATAAAATTTACGAATTTATTGTTGATTTTCAGGTTTTCCTGGAGTACCCGGGTTACGAGGTAATTATATCAAATTTAGATACTTAAAAAGATTTATTTATGCCTGTTTAAGAAAAATTAATTGAAAAATATTTTCCAGGCTAAAATGAAATTGATTCTATAACTTAGTTCTGTAATACCAAAAAATCATAGGAATCGTAGTTAAAACAAGATGTTAAAACATACAAAATGCTTAAAATATATTACATAAATATTGATCAATAATAATCATTACCTATAATATAGTTTACCATTGAACAAGTGTATAAATATAAATATAAATAATTTTTCATGAATGAATTTCTATGATTTTTTTAGTATTGATTTTAAATAATTATTCATTTATATTATTAAAACATGATTGAAAATGTAATCACCCATATAATATAATAAAAGTTTATAACCTATGGGTTATTTAAAATTGTATTTTAATATGCATAGTATATAAACTTACAACTATCGAAATTTTGTATAGATTCTTAATAAAATAATGACGATACTACTTGGTCAGTTAAGATTCCACATTAGTAAAAGATAAAGGAATGAGTGCATTATATTGATATATTGATGTTTTAAACTTGAAATCAATGTGCTCTCAAAAAAAAAAAAAAAAACATTTATGAGTCGGGTGGATCAATTTATATTTTTAAAGATGGTTGATAAATTGGTAAAACTAAATTCCTTAATTAGGTTATTTGAACTCATTATGTTATAATTATTGCAATTAAAAAAAGAACATTTAAAATTTGGAAAAATTGAAAATTTCAATTATCTATAAATACCAAAAATACAATTAAAATATTTCAATGTCTTTGAAATATAATACAAATAACCAGGAAATGTTTTGATTTGCTATGATTAATATTTATTTATTTATTATTATTATTATTAATTTTAATCTAATTTCGTTTAATTATCCGATTTTATTAGTCAGCAACACAAAATAAAATTTTTACAACTTTCTCCTAACTTCTATAGTGTTACAAAATAATAATTATATTAATTTAATTTGAAAAGAGTTTGAAAATCAAATTTTTTACACGTTTATGATATGTTAAGGATACCCTGGATTACAAGGCCCTCCTGGACCTAGAGGACAACCTGGAGAAAAGGGTGCTTCAATCATTGTAAGTTTAAAAACTTTAAAACATTGAGCTTCATTAAACATTATTATTGAGTAATGAAGCCATATTAAATGCATGATTATTTTTGTTGTTGCAGTAATTCTCCATTGATAAACTGTTTAAATTATAAATTGTAATGATTTAAAATTCTATGCGTATACCAAAATTAGCATTAATTTTAAAAAATATATATAATTTTCATTAGGGAAATAAAGGTGTAGATGGAGTTCCCGGAAGAGACGGTGAAAAAGGATCTAAAGGTGAACGTGGTTATCCAGGTGAACGAGGATCTCCAGGTAAGAATTATCAGAAAAAAATCTGTTTTAAGAATATTTTCAATTTAAATAATAATATATAATTGCTATATTGGTAATAATATAAAATTATTTACTATTAGGTGATTCCCCATCTGGTATTCCCGGACCACCAGGTGTTATGGGTCCTCCCGGAGAACCAGGTGCTGAGGGTAGACCAGGTTTTCCTGGAATCCCAGGTAAACTATATCATATTTTGAAATTAAAAATTTCTTAACAAAACATATATTATTTAATGATTTATTTTTGATATTTTTACACGCATTTTTTTGGTAATTTATTATATTATTCTTGTATTGATGACATATTCAAATTACCTTGATAGGTCAAGACGGTCAAAAAGGTGAAATAGGTGGTAGTTGTCAAAATTGTAGTCCAGGAGAAAAAGGTGCTAAGGGTGATCCTGGAATTCCTGGAACTCCAGGACTAACGGTAAAGCATGAATGACTTAAATATATTTTTTAGTACATACACAATTATATATTACATTAAATTTAGTTTTTAAAAACTCTTTGATATTTTTTTTCAACAGATTAACTGCCACGTGTCCCATATAATATATATTAATCATATTATGATACAATGTAGTTTTTCTAAGCAATGCATACCATTCATTACAATGTATTTTTATTACGCTAAATCACAAAATAAACTTTTTAATTTATATTTTCATTATTATTGTTAAACCTTTGAAAAATTATAAATTTGTTTCTTCATTTTACTAAAACATTACTAAGAGGTCACACAAACATCTCTTATAGGAATATCGCATTTACGAATTCCAATTATGGTGCACACTGTTACTAATATCAATGACTCGAGTGTACCTTAAATGGTACAAGTTACACTAAAATAATATTCAGCTGTATACCAAAATTGATACATTTAGTAACATGTCATAACCATTAAATAATGCCATGGCCCTTAACCAAATTAAATAATTAAATTAAAAAACAATTGAATAAAAAGTATAACAATTCTAATTTATATTTTTTTAATTAAATATACTTGTATGAAAATATTAAGGAATTGTGGTTTAATTAATATGTATAGAAACTGGTATTTAATAATTTTTAATTATATAATGATAAAAATTAAATTGTAAGTTTCAAAACTATCGCAATACAAGTATTTAAATTTGTTCATATTCTTCAAGTGTTAAAATTCACTTATTTTTAATATAATGTCAGTTTAATATTGAAATTAAAATTCATTATAATACTGCAGTAAGATGGTGTATTTTTGTCATACCAAAATATATAAATGTTATAAATGTAACCTTAAAATCGAAAATTTAAGTGAATGTATTTATTTTATATAGGGGCCTCGTGGACCACCAGGGGATAGAGGGTTCCCAGGTGAACGCGGTGATGATGGAATGATTGGACCGATTGGTGAACCAGGAGAACCTGTAAGTGCTTAACTATAAAATAAAAATTATTATTCATAAAATTAATATATTGAAAATATTATGCTATAATTGAAAGACTAACTTTTATTTTAATTATTTAAAATGTTAACACATATTTCTGCACTAGGTCCATGATATCTAAATTATATGTTAGAAATTATAGTTTTAGTTGAATAACGTTGAATATGTATTTTTTTTTCTTTTTTTAATTTAGGGTAAAGATGGTATTGCGGGTGAACCAGGAGTTAAAGGTCAAAAAGGAGAAAATGCTTTGATATCAGCTGCTCAAATGAAAACGGAAAAAGGAGAACCTGGTCCAAAAGGTTCCCAAGGAAGGTAAATAGTTGCTATAACAAATTAAAAAACAATAAAAAATAATATAAATTAAATGTAACACTAAATAGGTGTGATCTTTTGATATAATTTATGGTAATATAAAGTGACACTGCAAATATAAAAAAAAAAAATGTAGAAAAAATTGAACGGCGTTTTAAGAAGGCAATTTCAATACACGTAGGTCGAGATGAACTTTATTAAGTATTCAGTTAAATTTAAATTAAAACTATTCTCATACTCAATAGGAATGGCAGTATTATAAAAATAAATATATAATACTATGATGGAATTTTATTTAATAAAAACAGATCGGTGTATATAGTAAATATGTATTATTAATAAATCATTTTATATGATAATGTATTTTATATGGACAAAATTATGTACCCTCATGTAATAATTTGTCTACAGCGTAAAAGTCATCTGTAACATTTTTTTTTTTTTAATAAATGTTCTAGTATTTCTTTGGTTAAAATAACAAAGAACATATTTACAATAATAAACTAAAGATATTGTTTGCGCTATAGGAAATATGTTTGTGGTGATACAATATCTTTCAAACCACAAAGCATAAAAATATTATAATAATTTTAAAAATAATAATAAGTATGGCAAACAATAACAGAAAGCCGCAATGACTAGTATGAGTTAGTATTACTAGCTGTTAGTGGTGAATAATTATACAATATAAATAATAATATCTTATATTGCTCCTTATTCACTTTAATTTTATTTACTTTAGAGATGGCTTGCCAGGAGCTAGAGGTGATTTGGGATATCCCGGACAAAAAGGTGTAACAGGACCAATGGGAGAAACGGGAGAAAAAGTAAGTATTAATTAAAAAAATTTGATGACTTATTTATCAAGATGTCATTTCGCTAAAACCTAAATTTTTGTAGTTAAATTTTTAAAAAAATGTAACTAAGGTCTATCCTTAAGGTGCGATTTCTTAGAGCGCGTATATAGACGCGCGATCGATGTGGCTGACGCAGCGTAACTCTAATTTTAACGGTTTTTCCTATTTTTAAATAAAACCTATTCCCAACACCGCCGCGTGGCTGTTGCGTCTCTAATTGTGCGACTGACAACCGCTTGGTAGGCGGTCAAAACGCACTAGACGCGAGACCGATTATCGTCGACTTGTTAATTTGATACCGTTTACTAACCGTTTATTTGATTTACCTATATAATTTTAAAATGTCTTATGATAGCAATGTAGATTATATACCTGCCACACGTCTCTTGCGACTACGTTTTGTAGTTGTACGGAATACCTACTCAGTTGCGTCGCAAGAATTCAAATCGCGCCGCGTCAGTCACGTCAGTCGCCCGTCTATAGACGCATCCTAAGGAATTACACCTTAACAATGTCCAATGAAGTGTCCATTCAAATGTCGGTAATCTAATGGCCACATTTTCCGTAAATTTCCGATTACCGCAATCAGTTCTTACAACTTTCGGTCAGGCAACGTATAACTACTTACAGTTTTACTAAAAATCATCGAAGATAACTAAATTTAATTTTTTTACGTATTCGTGAACATCGAATTTTTGTGTAATCACATGATTATCATAATAATTTAAATTATCGTATTTACGTTTAAAAATTGTTATAAATATATAGCTAATGATATTTTATTTATTTGGAGTCTTCTATATTCTTCTAGGACAGTGTATACTGTATTATGTATTTCAAAAAATCTTTAAACTTCTGAACAATATATAGATATACATATATTATTAACTAATGCAACTTAGATATAGACAAAAATCCATACTTAATTAGGTATTCATAAAATAATTTTTAACAATTATGTATTTAATCAAATTATATTTGAACAATTTATGTATATCATTAGGGTGATAGAGGATTCCCAGGTTCTGAAGGTTATCCAGGTAAATATCATAGCATATATTTTAAAATATTTTAATGAAAGTAAATTTTTTACATATTAATATTTATTTACAGGACAACCAGGAAATCCTGGAGACAAAGGAGAAAAAGGAGTTAGCATAAAGGGAGAACAAGGATATCCAGGAATTAAAGGGTATATTGCTTTTAACTAATTATGTTTTATTTTGTACAATTTACAAAAATATTGCTCATATATGTATTAAATTTCCAGAGTCAAGGGAGATAAGGGTTATTCTGGATTACCTGGCGCAAAAGGAGTACCTGGTTAGTAGTTTTTGTTAAAATGATCAAATACACGGACATTTTAATGGTTTTTTTTTTTTAAGAAACATTTTATTTTTATTATTGCACACATAATATTTACATATATACTTACGTATTATAAACCATAATTTTAAAAATATATTAGTAGATTAATAGATAAAATTACTTAATTTGGCATACAAAATTATATAATTAGCTTTAACTACATCGGAAACATTTTAGAACTCCATAACCATAAAATAATAAATAAAATATAAATATTTTTTTTTACTAGCTACGTATTAAGTTAAATAAATACTAATTGTTTATTGATAATTATAGGTAAATGTGATGATTTAAGTGAACTAATTAAAGGCCAAAAAGGAGATAAAGGATTTGAAGGACAAAAAGGTGAACCTGGTTTACAAGGAGTACAAGGTCAGTAATTTTTTTGATGGTCTAATGTAAAATAACAATTCATTATGAAACAATTCGTTATTTATTTAAAAAAATAGGTGATCCTGGTGATAAAGGAGACCTGGGCCCAGTGGTATGTATTTAAATACTAAAATTAGATGAATTTTACTTTTTTAGTAAATTATTATTGATTTATTGGTAAACTTTAATTATTGGTTATTAATCAATTAATATCATAAATAAAATATACATATTTCTTTTCAAAATTAATTTTATTAAATACAAAATTGTTTTCATTTTTAGGGAAAAGAAGGATCTATTGGTCCAAGAGGACCTCCGGGTAAGCATAAGAAATACTAATTTATATATAAGTTAAATATTTAACTAATCTTACAAAAAAAGAGTATCATTATTAAAAAACAAAATAAATAAAAAAATTTAAATATAACATTTGTATCACTTATATGAATTAATTAGAGATATAAATAATAATTTATTTTTACTATCTCAAATTGACATAATATCAAGAATGAAATATAATTTGATAAAAAAACATTTTTATAAAACAGGGAACTTAATATTTTTTTTTTATTTTTTTTTACTCATTGATTTTTAATTATAATATTTCTTACAGTGAACATTTTTATTATGAGTAATATATTTTAATATATTGAACAAATAAGATGATGTAAATAAATATATTTAATGTATTCATAGTAAAAAATACTATTTGAAACCTAACTAACTGCTAAGAACATTTTCATAAATAAAGTTTAAAATATGCTGTAGGTATTGTCGGTCCAAGAGGACTACCAGGACCTCGTGGTGACAAAGGAAATACTGGACCAATGGGTAATTATAAATATATAATTATAATTTTAAATATGAATGATAAACTTAGCTATATATCATTGATATACAATAACGTTTTAAATTGTGAATTGTGTTCTCAAATTAATATTCAGTTCTATTTTAATCCAAATTTTAATAATAGTTAAAAACTTAAATGATAGGTTTTCCTGGTGATTCGGGGCGTGATGGAGAAAGAGGATATCCAGGATTACCAGCAGCCAAAGGTAAATATCCACTCAATAAATAATTTGTTTAATTATTAAAATGGCTCTTACATTGTTTATTAAATACATCATTCTATTAGTATCTTATTCTTCTCCTTCGCCTTTCTCCCAACTATTTAGGGTCCACTACCCTTGTCCTAAACTTCCATTTATTTCGATTTCCTATATCCCCTAAATCATACTATAAGGTTAAACTAATATATTTAGATGTCTTAGAGTTAAATAAATATCAATTTTAACAAACTAACTACAATATTATTATATAAAAAACAACAAAAAACATAAAAATAGTTTAAAATAAAAAAATTAAAATATATTTTTTTTAGGAATGAAAGGCGAGCCCGGAATACCATTAATCGGACCAAAAGGTTCAGAAGGACCTGCAGGCGATAAGGGTGAAAAAGGTAATTTTAGTAAACATATTTTTAATCACGTGATTATTTTAGCTGTGAACTTGTACAACATAATAAGAACTAGACATTTGAATAATACATATTTTATTTTTTATATGAAATTATTGTTTACAACTATTGTTCAATTTTAACAGGTCTACAAGGACCATTTGGAAGACCCGGAATTTCTGGTGAACCAGGTATGCCCAGTGTATAATATACTATACAAACAAAAATTAAAAATGTTTAATACAAGTAACAAAGATTACCATTTTGTATGAGTTTCAACAAAATATATAAATATTATTTATTTGCAGTTTGCATATAAATATAAGATTAATAAATAAACTTCCGATAAAACTAATTTACTCCGTATTTCAATAAATGTTTTAAATAGCTGAAATATTTGAACTCTAGTTATCAACTGGTTTTGAAGAACAATTTATTTTACTGTAACATATTTTTATGTTTTTTCAAAAACATTAATATCTTCTTGATTTATTATATAATGAGGGTTTATTTTTGAAATTTAAACACAAACATTTTAAATTTAATACTTGACCAGTTAAATAATGAAAAATATAAAGTAATAAATGCAAAATTGTATATAGTAAATCTAAGTTGATATTAATTTTTCATTCCAAATAAGTTACAATATCTCAAATCAATATTATTCTATTTTCATTAAATTATTATTTTTATTCATTAAATGTAAGCCATTTGTTTAGATTATTATCATTATGATATTCCTAAATATCAAATATAATTTTTGAAACTAATAAAATGTATAATGCAAGTATGATTTTTACTTTAATAATTTTTAATAAGCTCATTAATAATAATTATTAATGAGCTTATTATAAACAATTAACAATTATTAAAAATTATTGTTGTAAGAGTATATTATAAGAGTAATAGTAATACATATTTATTTATCTTAGGTACTCCTGGATCACCCGGAGAAAAAGGCGATCAAGGTAACATAAATTTATTTATTTATTTATTTATCATAATTATATTTTTGTTGCGTTATTTAAATTTGATTGTGTAATAATTGAAATATTAAATCATTTTTTAAAGGTGAACCTGGTTTGGAAGGATTGTCGGGACAGCAAGGAAATAAAGGAGAACCTGGTAAAATAATTAGATTTAATTTTTTTTTCTTCAAAACATGACGTTATTTTATTGTTTACAGGACCTGTTGGTCCCATTGGACCACCTGGTTTGGATGGACAACCTGGAGCTGATGGTGTAAAAGGTAAAATTTTGATGATTTAACAGATGATACAAAAAAAATAAATAAATTGTTGATATCAGCATTAACATACGAATATAAACAAAATTACATCCGAAGAATGTCTAGACTTAATTATTAAAAAATGAAAAAAATGAACAATATGAATTAAAATCGTGGATAACACACCATTTAAACTTTAAATTTAATTTTTTTTTTTTATAAAGGAACAATATTTTGATGAAAAATGCAATTGCAACGATAATATAATTAGTATTTTAGGATCTTTTGAATAAAAATATACAATAACTACATAAGTTATTTGTTGCGACTTTATATACATTTCACGGGTCTCTAAAATAATGTTGATTATCATTAACGGTAAATCATAGACAAACGCGAAAATTGTAGTTTCAGTAGCTTCAGAAATCATACTCAAATTATTTTCGACGTCTCTGATAGTGATAACGTGAAACTATAATTTATACAAAAATGGTAAATGCTGTGAAATCATCAATTAAATTCACTAACAATAAAATAAAGAATAGGTAATATATAAATTACTATGGTTTACAGGTGAAATGAGATTTTATGAATCGTAATCTTTAGACATTTTCCGAAAATTATTTTTTGTTTAACGTATAAAAATTACAAACATTAATTATACTTCCCTTTAATTTACTATTACATTGCGTTTTTTAGGTGAACCTGGACTAATTGGTGAACCTGGTAGGCAGGGACTTCATGGATTCCCTGGACAAAAAGGTAATTATTCCAATCATGAAAATAATAAAACACCCATACAATGTTTGCATTATTTTATTGGAATTGGTTGCACAGTAGTAACTAATATGTAAATTATTTTAGGTGATATTGGTCCTCCAGGTCCAGAAGGTCCTAAAGGATTCCCCGGTTATAGAGGCACTCCAGGTAAACAACAATATTTAATCGCATTTAATGACTTTTATATAAATACTGTAATTACCAGGACTCGTAAGTTCATGCATTTGCATATCAATGTTGTATTTAATGCTAGATAACATAGAAATCCATTTCAAGGGAACACGGTTAAATATGTGAAATCTTATTTTGCATATTTGACATGTTTTTGCATATTTGGCATATTTATGCATATTTCTACTTTATCGAGCATATTATAAAACATTTCATTATAATTAATCAAAAATCGAAATAGAAAATACAAATAAAATTAAAATTAGTAATCGTATTATCTTTTTTTTTCTTATCTTTTTGACACTCATACATTTAATGAATAAATTAGTTTCAAAAATATCAGATTTAAAATGAATTACTGACAAAGACATACATTATACGCAGTTCATAAAGGCTCAAGAATAGTATTAAATAGTATTTAAATACTATTTTCTTTAACTGTGACATAATTTAATAAAATATAACTATAAAAAAAATGAATGGATATGGTGTTATATCAAAAATAATTTCTAATTTTTTTAAGTAAGCATTTTAGTGCATAATTTTAGATATTTAATACATATAAATGTATATTTTTTTAACTTTTTAACTCATATTTTAAAGCATATTTTGCTAATTTTATGTGCATAAAGGCATTTTTTAAGGCATAAACTTATGAACCTTAATAATTTCTGTTTTATTGTTTATTATATTACCAACAATAACTTTGATAAATCAAATCAATATTTTTTATGTATTTTTTTTTTTTTAATTTACTTGATACCTACAATTCAATAATCAATTGAGTAGGATGTATTTATTTTTTATAAATAAAATATTACTAAATATTAATTATTATATTAACTATGATCAAAATTTGATAATGTATATTATTAATCAAATATATTAATATAAATTAAAAAATTTATTTTAACACATATCCAAATAAATGATTTGATTAAAAGAAAAAAAATTAACTATAAGATTTTTATGCTTATCTATGTTCATTAGTTGGTTTTATTAAACATGAAAGTTAAATACTAAATTTAAAAAAAAATTTTTCACATAGGAATGCCTGGAAGACCTGGACTTGATGGATTACCAGGTAAAATATTTAAAAATGATTTATTGTCATTATTGAGTACTTTAATTATTATTATTCAATAGAATTGGATATCATGAAATTATTTTATTCTTAGGAGATAAAGGTGATAAAGGAGAAATGGGAATACCTGGACCTATTGGATTACCTGGAGATGATGGTTTGCCAGGATTAAAAGGAATCACAGGTATATTAATATTTTAAAAAAAAAATTTTATGGCCAATTATTCACTTTCTTATCATTTTATCAATTAATATTTTGTAAAGGATTAAAAAATTTAAAGTAGAGGATTTTATATAGTACATTAAGTTACAAATTTTAGTTAATAACAATAATCGTTTTAAATTTTAGGTGAAAAGGGTGATATAGGTTTCCCTGGCCCCCCTGGAGATCGAGGACAACGTGGTTGGATTGGACCTAAAGGTGATCGCGGTCCATTAGGCCCACAGGTAAAATAATGATTATCAAAATATATTATGTTAAATTTATATTTTTTATTAATTCAATTTAATCATTTTACCAATTTTCACTATATCTATTATAGGGCTTGAAAGGTGAACCTGGTCCTGTTTCAGAAAAAGGACAAAAAGGAGAACCTGGTGAATCCGGTCTTAGAGGGCCACAAGGACCACCGGGACTTGACGGTGAGTAAAATATTTTTTTATACTTAAATATTAAAGTATTTTATTTTTAAAATACTAATATATTTAATATTTATTTGAATTACTACTTAGATATATAAGAGTATACTAATATTTTCATAGTGATATTTTTATTTTTTTTTTAAATACATGAAATTTCAAACATTATTTAGTATAAATTGAATATAAACAGAAACTGTTTCTTATTATAAATTTATAAATGGTAATTCAAATCAAATGATATATAAAAAGAACAGTGCTGAATTGATCAAAATACAAATTGAGTTCCTCACGATATTAAATTATTGAATTATTTAAAAAGTTTATAATATTAAACAAATTAATAATAGTGAATTAATGTTTTGATTTGCTATATACCAAACGTTTTTAGAAAATTTTTATATGAAGTTTTAAAATATATGAATAAAACATGAAGAATTAATATTGAATTAACTTTTATTTTAAAAGAGCAAAAATCATTCTGTAAACAGAATTTGTACTATTATATGTGAAAACTAATTTTAGATTTACAATAGATAACAGAAATTTAATTAGAATAATATTCTAATAAGTATATAAAAAATTTGATCTTAACTTAATTTTAACCTAATAATATTTATGAAACAATTAAATCACAAAAAAAAATTTTTTTTTTTTGATTATAAATAAGTTGAAATACACCTTTAAGTCATTTTTCTTATCTAAATAATTTTATATTATATAATTTGTTCAAATTTAAAAAAAATATCTATTTCATTCGCTTAAAACAAATTTTTAATTATAGACGATTATTTCCATAAATTGTAAACTTGATTAAAGTTTATTTACTAACTTTTCTGCAAATAAATCAATGCGTATAAAATTAATGATTTACCAATAAAATATTTTCAAAGAATTCTTTTTACTTATTTGAATTAAATAATAACTGCGCATATATTTTATGAATTTGGTCCTATAGTGTTAAACAGCTTATCGGCACTAAAATATAAAATAAAATAAAGTATAATAAATGATCTTATTTAAGATATTTTTTTAATAATAACATGAATAATTAATAAATTAACTAATACATTATATCATATTCTATTTATAGGTCTACCAGGAGAAAAAGGTGAAATTGGATTCCCGGGTATTGGAATACCAGGATTGCCTGGAATAAAAGTAAATATATCAGCATTATTTTAAAATGTATTTAATGTATAAATGTGTATACTCGTATAATCAATAATTATTAACAATATGTTATACATGAAAAAGTTTATGTATTATATAATGTAATAAAAAAAACAAGTACATATTAATAATTATTGGAAAATTATTTCTGATAAAATGCATAAGTAACACAACTACAAATTGAATGTATATACTGTATATACATACAATTTTATAACGTAAAAAAAAAAAAATATTAATAATTTTTGATTATTAAATATGATTCGATAAAAAGTTAAATAAACACGAAATTTAAATGTTGGAGTGTATAAAATCATGAATCACATATTAAATAATAATTCAATGACAAATTATTTGTGTAGGAGGTCTTATATTTTTCAATTAAGTTCTTTTGAATGATACTTGTGTAAATAAATATTATGTCAAACCATCATTAATAAGTGTTGTTCTATAATCTAAAGAATTTTTATATATTAAAAAAAATTCAGTATTATCTAGTTATAAAATTAAATATTAAGTAATTTACCTTCAGGGTGATCCAGGAGTACCTGGATTTGATGGAAGACCTGGAACAGATGGTGAAAAGGGTTTCCCAGGAGTAGCTGGAGTTCCAGGAATGAAAGGTGACACGGTACGTGTAAACTGTAAAATACTTGAATAATAAATCTTAGATAATTGTACATATAACAATTCTTTAATTACAAATTATGTATCAATTGAGTAAATAAATCATTGATATGATTATAACTATTAAAAAAGTTCATATTTTATTACATGTTTTTAATTAAAGGGACCTCGAGGTGTACCAGGAATACCAGGAGAACCCGGAATGGATGGTTTAAATGGAGTTGATGGTCGAGAAGGGTATATTATAAAATATTATTTATTAATATTTTAATTTATAATTCAATTAATAATTTAACTATAATTTGATATATTTTATACAATCAAAATATACACTTAATTTAATGTAATATTGTTAATATAAATAACCAAATATTATACAGTAAATTAAAAACTAAAATAAAATCTGATATTATGTTTAGCTATCCTGGAATTCCCGGAAGTAAAGGTGATAGAGGAGATACTGGAAATCCAGGAATCCCTGGCCTCAATGGAATGAAAGGAGAACGAGGAGTACCTGGTATGAAAATATTGTAGTATGATAAATTTAAGAATTGTAGATATATTTGAATATATTATAACCTTACATAACTATATTTAGTAAAATAATTAACTTAAAATAAACGATAAACAAAAATTATATAATTGAAAAACAATTTTTCAGGCTTGCCTGGACCTGTTGGGTTCCCCGGAGTTATTGGAGATAAAGGTAATATAACATAGCCTTCTGATTACTTAATTTATAATATTGATGATTTAAAAATAAATATTTTTACATTCATATTTTTATCAGGTGATCGGGGTTTGCCAGGCCCAGCAGTTGATATTAAAGGAGATAAAGGAGAACCAGGACCACCAGGTTTTCCTGGAAAGCCTGGTCTACCAGGACTCACTGGTATACATATAATATTTATTAATAATTTTTAAATACGTATGACATATTTACAAAAATGCTATTACAAATCATAGACTACTATAATAATTATTAACTAAATAAGTTATTTGCATATACTTGAATTATTAAATTATATTAAATCAATTATTTTACTTATAAGTTAAACTATGTGAACTATTTATTGTTCAGGTCTTGATGGACAACCTGGCATAGCAGGTGATAAAGGTGATATGGGATTAATGGGCCTTCCTGGTAACCCTGGTCCTCCAGGTCCAAGAGGTGAAAAAGGTAAAATAATAACTTATATTATATTATAATAGATCCTACATCATATGCTATGTTATTCAATTTATTTTCAAAAATATTTAAACATACATTTTTTTCTTAGGCGATACTGGACCACAAGGTCTTCCTGGTTTGCCTGGAATAACGGTTAAAGGAGAAAAAGGACTACCAGGTACATAATTGTAAATGATTTTAAGGAATTTATGGTGTTTTTATTATTGAAAAAAGTATTTGATTAATTTAATACCTAACTTCTAAATTTTGATTTTAATTACCTTTATAATCTTACTTAAGGTTTATTTATTTTATTGTTTGGTTTATTTTTTCAGGGCTTTTGGGAAAACACGGTAGAGATGGATTGCCTGGATTAATTGGAGAAAAAGGTAATAATAGCACATGTTTTGTTTTTAATTTCCTTTTTATTTAACACAAGGAATATAAATCAATTCATAGTTATAAATTTTACAATCATATAATATTATAATATTTCATGTTTTGTAAAATATTTCCTCTTTTTCAAACTTTATATATAGATGATTATTGTATGGAAAATGTATATGATTTTACTTGTTCAAACGTATATTTTAAGCATATAAAATATCACAAGTTATATGTATTAATACTTTGTAAAGTCAATGGTGTTAGAGGATCCAAATGTTGCACTTGAACAATATTCAATGATAGTTAATCACTAAAATATTACACAAAAAAAAAAAAAAAATGAAAATTGCCCTGTACGTATCAGGATGAATACAGAATATATAAAAAATTATTTTAAGCTACCAATATTGTTTTCCATATAATATTAATTTGATGATTTTCATTATTCTATAAGTAATTACGACTTTATGGGTTCCAAAAGTGAAGTAATGACTATTCAGCATATGAATTACATGTGTATCATGTGTATAATAAAATAAAATACCTACTATATTTGGAACTTGCATGGAAAAATAAGAAATGAAGTTTAAAAATACCAAAACTATTTTCCCGACATGAAAATACAAACAAAATGTCATACCAAGAAATAATAATTACTTATTAATAATACACAAATTATGATTATGAATAGGAAATCTATATGTATAAAAGAATGTCAGATTATTTACAGAATTTATAATTCAAGAACGGCTGGTTCGATTTTGAAGATCTCTGATTTGTTGGATTCGTCTCCGTATAAGAATAAAAATAACTCTAATATTAGCGAGAATACAAAAAATTATCTAGATAAAATCATCTAGACAAAAAAAAAAATTATCTTAGATAAATAATTAGATAACTTAGCGTTATTTATCTAGATAAAATAAAAGATGACAAAAAATCTATCTAGATAAATTTATCTCGATAAGTCCTAACACTAATAAGCAAATACATGTTTATATTTAATTTATATTTAGTAAACAATAATACAATTAATATACATAATATTTCAGGTGATAAAGGATTGCCAGGATTACCAGGATTGCCCGGTCCTATTGGGCCAGTAGGGGTATGTATATTTTTATAAACATTTTATCAATTATCAAACTTTAAAAAAATGTAGAAAGGATGTTGTTCTAAATATTATTTCCACAATTTATTCAATATTTATTGATATAAAATTAAAATATTGAAATTTATTCATTTATTGTGTGCATATCATCCTATTTAATTTTTTAATGTTCTAGTTACCAGGTGCACCGGGAGATGTAGGAGAAACTGGACCACCGGGTAAGCAACATAATCTAATTTATTAAATATATTGTTGTTGTTATATTTATTAATAAAATCAACATAGTTTTATTTTATGTTATCCTTCAAATCTCAATTTTAATATTTATTTACCTAGAATATACTAAATAAAACCTGTAATCATTTTGAATTTATAATAACATATTTAAAATCAATCACAGGTTTCCCTGGACCTCCAGGAATAGACGGATTGCCAGGTCTTCCTGGATTAGATGGTTCCATAGGATTAATGGGTAATGAATAAAAACTATTTGTTTTCATTCGATTATAAACTTTAAATTATAATAGAATAATAATATAATAATATAAATACATTTATGATACTTAATTCACATTTTATTTAACCGTAGGACCCAAAGGAGAACCTGGAAATCCTGCACCATACAGCGAAAAAGGAGATAAGGGTGACACTGGTCCTGCAGGTAATAACCGAATCTAAACTGTTCAATGTTATATGTCAAAATATGAATGTTTAGCATATATATAAACATTGTGTTATTTTACTATTTAATTATAACCAATTAGTGCAATGATTTGTATTTCTGTTTTAGGAGAACCCGGTTATCCAGGACCCAAAGGTGAAAAAGGAGATATAGGATATCCAGGTGAGCCAAAATATTTATATATGCATAAAAATAATATCAAATTGATATGTAAAAAAACAATTAAAAAATCGCTTATTTCTTTGATTATAAAATATTCTATAGTCACAATCGTTGATTTTACAAAAGTAATAAAATAATATACAGTATAAATTTTATATTTTAGGAGCTCCTGGATTAACAGGTCTGACTGGATTACCAGGTGAAAAAGGTCTAGATGGATTACCAGGAAAACCAGGTTTGTTTAAAAAAATACTAAAACATTACAATCTTAATATTTGATATTTACAAAGTGAATATTATCTAGTTACGTATAATTATATAAATTATATATTATTCATTTTAATCTTTAGGTTTTCCTGGAATTATGGGAATGCGAGGTGATAAAGGTGAACCCGGTCTTACACCACCACCAGGACCAAAAGGAGATCCAGGTTTACCTGGTAAATTATGTTTGTCAAATTAATTATTAGTCCAAGTTATTCATACCAACTCTTATCATAGTATATAATATTTTATTTTGATATTAATTAAATTATGTCTTTTTTCATTACTAATTAAATAAGTTGCCATTGCATCATTCATAAATAAAAATTGTTTTGAAATACATTATAAAAATACAAACTATATAATTTATATTTTAGGAATGGCTGGCTGGCCTGGTGAAAAGGGTGAACGTGGTAATGATGGATTCCCTGGTTTGCCCGGAATTAAAGGAGAAAGAGGTACGTATTATATAGTATATTTTTACTAAATAATTAAAGTAAAATTAAAAATTCTCAAAAAGTAATTTATGCATTTAATTATTAACTTTTACATTAAGGTTTTCCTGGTTTGAATGGTCCAATCGGTCCTCCAGGCATAGATGGTGATAAAGGTGAACCAGGATTTGATGGACCTCCAGGCATACAAGTTAGTAATTTAATTAAAATAAATCGTTGGTATTTTGGTAGTTTAATTTCAATATATTCTGTTGAAAATATATATATATAATAGTTTATTCATGAAATGTATGAAATTTAGCAACATTTTAGTAAACATATAAATTAAGATGTATGTGTAATTATATTGCATTCATATTTATTTTATTATTCAATAAGAACTATGATCTCATTCTTTTTTGGTTTTTAAAAAATTTTTTTATAGCTAAAATAAAACATCTTATTGAGTATAGCAGTAAAATTAATGGTTTTAAAGCAATTTTATACACCTAATTTGAGAATTGAATCACTCAAAATTTTACGCCAACAGTTTTTCGTTTATATTTTATATATATATATATATATATATATATATATATATTATTTAAATTATGACCTTTTAATATTTTCAATAGCTGTTTAAGACAGCTGTTTAAGTAATGTACATGTAAAAGCCATTTTGATGACATTATTAATATCATATAACATATATTTATGAATAATTTTTGTATTTATAGGGACCTGTGGGTCAAACAGGAAATGCTGGCCCTCCTGGGAAGCCTTGCGAATCACAACCAGATTACTCAACGGGTATATTATTGGTCAAGCACAGTCAAAGCTCAACGATACCTGAGTGCGAACCAAACCACGTCAAACTCTGGGACGGATACAGTTTATTGTATATTGAAGGAAACGAAAAATCGCACAACCAAGATTTAGGTAAATATTATAATACCTTTTTGTCTCGAATTAAATATAAAAGCTTATAGCTCGATAAAAATATGTCCACCGATATTAATAGTAATATAATAAAAATAATTTTTTTTGATTATATATTGTGTAACATTTAAAAATAAAATTATGTTCAAATATTTTTCCATTATCAACAGTTATTAATAGGTAATACAGTAGTTCATGCAAATACACTAGCGCACACGGAATAATTATTGACGCACAACCACAATATAGGAGTATTAAATGATAACACCACAAATGTTGATCATTTTCAGGTTTTGCCGGTTCTTGTATTCGAAAATTCTCTACAATGCCGTTCTTGTTCTGTGATTTCAACAACGTATGCAACTATGCCAGTAGAAACGACAAGTCATATTGGTTGAGCACTAACGAACCATTACCAATGATGCCGGTCGAAGAGTATGATATTCAAAAATATATCTCACGGTAAAATCAAAACCAATGTATTCGAATAATTACCCTCGACGATTGCTGAACACGATCAATACCATTTTACCGAGACCTTTTTTTTAAATGTCAACAGTTGCGTGGTATGCGAAGCCCCAGCGAACGTGATCTCCGTGCACAGTCAGGCGAAGACGGTTCCCGACTGTCCGAAAGATTGGGAAGGCTTATGGATAGGATACAGTTTCGTGATGGTAAGCGTTCACGTCCCAAATAATCCGGTATATTAGGCTACATATTATGTGACGAATACCAACCTTTTGTGAGTAGTGAATCTAATGGGCGAGAAGAGTCGGTATGAGGGTAATTACCGCAAAACAGTTAGCTCTCTAGATTACCTACTCGATTTGTACGTACGTGTGAACTAAATATGCATATTATTACGTACGTGCGGAATCACTTTTTTTGTGTTATAAACTTTGGAATTTTATTGGTACTTTTTGTAAAAGTATTAATTTTTTTAAATTTAAAACCAACTAAATATATTTCCTATAAATTTACAAAATCAAAATATTTTCATCCTCTTTTGTTATTGCTAAATGTCTTTTTAGTCGTTTCCACTCCGGTAGTTACAATTTCATACAAGTTGGTAGCGCATAATAAATATTTAGAATTCGTACTAAATAAACGAAGAATAATTTACACTGAAAATTTATTAAAAAAAAAGATAATGAGTAATCATTTGCATTGCACGGTCGAGAAAGTTTCTGGGAAACTCGCAAAGAAATCGAAAAATGTTCTGCAGACAAATATTCTTTTGATTTATATTGGTTTATATTGATTTATATTGTTTAACACACGTGAAAAGTGGTTTGTATATACTTACACGCTTAAGGTATAAATGAGGCAATTCAGATTATTTTGTTAAAAAATCAGTGGTTTGTGAATTTGTCTAGGTTCTTATACGAGTCTATGTATAAGAAATGTGTTCATCCCAAACGAGTCCCTCGATTAAATATCGTGTAGTATTCGCCTTCGTAATACATGTTTCCCTGCGATACATAAAATTTACATCATTGAAATTTTTCTTTTTTTCTTTTTTTTTTTTTTGAAAATATTTGCATTGAAATATTACAGTCAGATACAATGTTTGGATAAAAATTAAATTTTTCATGGAAAATTAAAGAAACTTAATGGCTTAACCAAGCAGTCGTACAGCTACGAAACTGTGATTGATTTCGTTCAATTACCAAAGGTCCCTGGACCGATTTCATTCGATTTCCTGGTTGGGTTTTTGAAACCAGCTAGATGATGAATAGGTTTTGATGCAATTTTATTTTTGAATGAAGTCCAGTGTAGTGTATTGAGGTGATTTAGTAGACATTCAGGTTCTTTAGGTCCCGGTGGACTGCCATATTAATGACAAGCCATGGTGCTTTAAAAATTATTTGGAAGCAGACAGACAGACTGATAGACTAATTAGGGTTGGATTATTGAATTTTCTTCACCGCTAATTCCATTTAATATGTGTACAGCACACTGGAGCTGGCGCTGAAGGAGGTGGTCAATCGTTGGCCAGCCCTGGCTCGTGCTTGGAAGACTTCAGGGCTACGCCATTCATCGAGTGCAACGGGGCGCGAGGCACGTGCCATTACTTCGCCAACAAGTTGAGCTTCTGGTTGGCCACCATCGACATCGAGGAACAGTTCACCAGTCCGCAGAGACAGACGCTGAAGAAGGATGTGATTCGCACGCACATCAGCAGATGCCGAGTGTGCATACGAAGAACTGCGTAGTTAAACGGCATCGCAAATGCCCATAACCATAAAAATTATGTGATACGCGCGCGCACCAATGCGTAACAATAATTAATATTATCCGTCGGTTAGATCATATTATTTTAGTCATATTATATAATATTATAAATTTGATTTTTCATAATTTTGTGTAAATTTTCACTAATTTTTTATTTATTATTAATATTATAATAAATTATTAAATAATATCATTTTATTATTATTATTATTATTATTAATATTATTATTATTATAATTATTTTAACGAACAGTATAACTACTTGAATCGGTTTCATATCAATTCGAAACGTTCGTCGTGTTCATTAATAATACATATTTTCATCGTATTGTGTTCTTCATGTATTTAAAACAAAACATAATTTCTTAAATATAAGTATTTTAAATGTACATTACAAACTTCTGAACGTTCTCATCGGTTTTTTCCCAAATTTTTCGATAGAAATCAATTTTTAATCGTATTTGTACGCAACGGAATCGAAATGTAAGAAAAATCGTACAAAACAAATAAATACTAAAAAAAAATGTTGATTCCTTATGTTTAAAATATATATATATGCATTAGAATTTAGATAAAATAATCAACATTAACATTAAATCAAAAAAAGTGATACATATATATTTGAATTATTATTGTCCAAATATATTCAATATATACAAATATGTTAACACAAACACAGCACTTGATCTTTATTTATTTAATTTAGTTTTAGTGATGTCTAATTGTAAATAATATAATATACTTTAACGATATATTTCAATTCTGTGTCGTGTCCCACGTACTTAGATAATAATAATACCATAATCACCGTGCATTGCATATGGATTTGCATGAGTATATAATGATAATGATAATGATACATATAATAAATGAACTCTTATAAATATTAAACCACATCTATCAAATGCCATATACCACACAAAGTACAAACAAGGAAATAATTAAATGATTATTGATTGTAAACCACATCCACATTTCGCACAAATGTGATCTAACGAGGGAACATTATTCAAATAATCACATCTGTGGGATACATTAAACTACACACATAATCACATTTTAAACACACACTTGCATCAATCAAAAGATTAACTATTTTTATTATCGTTTTTCATATACATACACACACACTTCCATCTATTGGATATAAAAGGGACCCGGAAATAAGGGCAAATCAGACGAGTTCTGGATATGTGACACTGATCACCTTCTCGCTAGTGTATGTCATAGTCTGGACTTAGAAACATTTAGAAACATGTAGAAATATTTAGAAATATTTAGCAATATTTAGAAATACTTAGAATTATTTTAATAGTTCAATTGTCAGGACTTAGAATTTTAACAACCAACTTAATTTATTGCACTTAGAATAATTTTAACAATTTTTAATAAATTACTTTATCACAACTGGCTTTCATTATTTCAACATTATACCTACATCTAAGCGTTGAATAGACTAAGCGAGTAATTGAAATACGCTCAAACGGTTGGCACGCAACATCTGCAAAAAAATTAATTTCCATGCCTACAAATATATATGTATTTATATATCATACATACAAGGGGCAAGTTAACTATTTTTTTTTTTACTCGTTAAGTTTTTTTGGAAAAATATAAGTCAAATTTAAAGTTAAAAGTTATAAAAATTACTTTTATTTTTTATTTAACTTGTAAAAGTTACTAGTTAATTGGAAGAATTAAGAAACATAACTTACTTAAAAATAAATTACATTATTTTTGATATAAAATTAATAATTAAAACTTTTGTTAAAGCTTAAAAAATAACATTATATTATGATATAGGTCTTTATATTTAAAAAAAAATGTATATTGCTGTAGGTACTTATATAAGATATACATTACAGTCCGAAAATAAATTTAATAATAAATAATAACCTACCCATTTATCGTAAATACCGAGGAGTAAACCAATATGCTAATCAGTGTACAAAATTTTGATTTTTTTTCAGATAATTTTGTGATAATCGCAACAATATTATGATTATCTTTATTAATTATAATTAATTATTCGTTCGTTCAAATTCTCTGAAGAAATTTTAGTTGATGATAAAGCTTGAAGAGTAAGTAACGAACGACTTCGACAATTTTAAAGATTACACCAAAAAAAATCAATCATTAAAATAAAAATTGGAAAGATTTAAAAAAAAAATTAAAATAATGGCTGCTTATAAAAATATAATGTACTTTATAAGGTTTTTATTTTATTAGTTAATAAGAAAATACGTTTTGATTGATTTGTTTTAATATTTTGAACTATTTACCTATTATTATCCATAGTAAAATAAACATTGTTTAATTTTCAAAGTAAATATATTTAATAATGTAAGTACCTACCTATATATTATTGAAAATAAGAAACACAACAAAATAATAAGTAAAGAAGTATAAGGTTTTTTTTTTTTTTTATTAAAACAATATGTTAAAATATTAAGCATGAATAAAATTATGAAATTAATTTACTGTAATGGATCCATAAATACATCATAAAAGAAACTTTGAAGGAAACTATTCTATATGTTATGGACCTATAGTCAAGTGGGACCTCACATAGTTGTAGCCCACCTACGTAATATAAATGTTATCTAATAATATTTAAAGTCTTGTATAATCATTAATAAATAAGTTTAATATTTGGTTAGTCATACAAATTACGTGTTAACTGAAAATCTGTTCGATTCAAACTTCAACGACAACATGCCCAAAATAGACTCATTAGTCACAAAATTCACAAATATTATTATAGAAGTAACAAAAAAGTCTATTGGACTCGAATCATACAAGAAAAAAAAAAAACTCCCGTGGTAGAACAAGGAATATCAGGATACTATTAAAAACTATAAAACAAAATTGAACAGATATAAAAATACCAAATCTACCAACGACCACCAAAGAGGTTAAAGCTAAAGCGCGTTTTATTACAAAATAATACAAAACTCTTTCATGGCAAAACTTTACTTCCACTATAAGCTACAAAACTTTCTCAAAATCATTTGGAACAAAATAAATGCTATAAAAAGTAATAAATATGGTACTATATCTGACATCCTACTATAAATCCAAGAAAAAATCACATCAGTACAAAACATGAAATTGAAGCTTACTAAAGCCTTTGCAAAATACTTCAAAAAAAAAAAAAAAAAAAAACAGCGATGAAAACTACACACCCAATTTTATAATGTGAAGAAACTCGGTCCCCAACATTCCTGCAATATTAACTTGAAGTGAAATCCCTGATCCTAATAACATTCCCTACATATTCCTCAAAAATATTCCAACAGTAGAACTAGAATACACTACTACTGGTATACAATACCATTTGGACCCAGTGAATCAGACAAATGGCGCAACGCAAACATGGCACCTATCCCCAAACAAAGAAAAATACTAAACTTCATGAACGTGCAATTAACTTTTGCATATAACATCCGTATTTTGAATTTAATTTTTGACGATAAACTATGTTGACGACCTCATTTTAAAAAACTCAAAACCGAATGCCTAAAAATAATGAAATTAATAAAAATTTGTGGAAACAACACTTAGGGATCGGACAAAAAAAAATCTCTTCATAATTATTCTTTCAATAATCGATTATGTAGTTAAAATTTACAATCCAGCAAAACAAAAACTCCTTAACTCCATTAATCCTGTACATAACTTAGGTATATAGTTGAGCACAGGAACCTTTAAAACTAGTCCAGTCGACAGTATATTGCACATTGTAAGCTAACGTCCCTTAAATTTACGTTATAATAGCCAACCTCTTACCGTTTGCAAAAAAAATCAACTTAGTAACATTATTAGAGATACTCAACATCATCCAAAAAAGAAATAAGAAAGAATGATAGAAATATCAGACCAGCTTACCCCTTTCTAAAAAACTAAAAAACATAAAATACAACATTAAAAATGGAACTTTTACTCTGAAATAAAAATAAAATAGGAAATAATCATCCCTCGTACACGTATAGGATAAACACACCTTAACTATGACATCTTAATAGTAAAGTTCCAGTATCAATATGTAACGTATGCAATATAAATCTAACTATAGAGCATATAATGATCACCTGCCCCTAAATACTTGAAAATCCACTAAATCATTAATAATCTACCTTCAATCAGAGTTGGGCAAAAACAAATCAAAATAAAGAATAAAGAATAAAAGCATGAATAAATAATTTATTTATGAATAAAGAATAATTTTTTATTCTGAATAATTGTGGTGTACAAAATAAATTTATTCGTTAAAATCATGACTGGCATACATTTTTTTTTTAACTTGTGTATTATACTAAACGCAATCATATGGACGTGAATTGTGCCCAACCAAGACCTAAAGTTTGGTAACTAAATAGGTTACTAGCTGATAACTATTATAAAAATGTTATCACATTTGGCGTTTTTGCATTAATCTTTGTAGATATATCGGTAAATTACCAACGAATTTTTATGTAAATTTCACATAACTTAACACTTTAATAATAATTAATAATTAAATAATAATTCAAGTAATAACAACAATAATATCTATTTGTAATAATAATTATAACAATTATCATTATAGTAACTATAATAACGTATGTGTATCAAGAATAATAAAATTTTTATATATATTATATATATTATTTAAGTCTAAATAATAAGTCTATTATTATTATACATCGTTATTTAGGATTTAAATTTATTATTTAAATGATTATAGGGAATAGCGAATAACGAATAATGAATAACGGAATAATAATACAAATTAAAATAAAAATCAATAATAAAATTAAGAATAAATCAATGAAGAACAATTTTTCATTCAAATAATCAATTGAACAATACTTTATTCGACTTTGCCTTCAATACAAGAATTTCTCAAATAAGGAAAAAGATGCAGCTATCTGTACATTTTTTAACATTATAAAATTAAGTCAAAATTGTAAAACTGTTATCCATCATTGGCTTTTATTCATTTATTTAACATGTAATGAATTTTATGATAAATTAGATTAAAACTCATGATATTGAAGTCTTAATAAATTAAAAAAATAATAATAATAATAATCGCATTGAAAGACAAATTTAAAACATTAGAT